AGGGTGGACCCTCTGTAAGTGGCAAAAATATTATTAGAGAAAATGCCTCTGTTAATGCCTTTCTTGCAGGACTCAATAAAAGCAGAGTACATTTCTGAATGTTATGAGAAGTTGATCGTATGGAATACATACTATCTAGTGAAAATGAAATGCATCGGCGCGGGTAAAGTTTCCGCAAATGAAAGAGAAAAGTCGCTCCTAACGGGCGAAGGACACTTTTGCATACGGGTGTAGAAAAAGAAAAATACGCAATAGCGTAGGAAAATTGATTCATAAGCCAGACAGGACGGTTTCTCTGAGAACGAGAAAGCTCGAAAGCCTTAAAGATTGATTTAATGTTCAAGCATGCCAAACAGAGTTACCTGTATGGTAAACGTTTTCATTTTTGTTTAAAATAATGTAAAAAAGGTCTACGGTCTAAAGAGCACAACAACTCGACGCCAGAGATCTCGTCCGTGCAGAGACATTTTTACTGACGTATATCGCTTGCCGCACGACCCTCTCGAAGCTACACGTATGCTCAAGTGTGGTACAAAGTGTTAGCGATTGTGGTAGAAGCGTGGACGTAGCGCATTGCAGCGCATTGAACCTCTGATGGGAGAAATAAGAAGCCATGAATTACCAGTTGTCGATTGAACAACCTGCGGTGCTCGTCGACAACTGAGCTAGATGGGCCCGCCACCGGGATGTTCGTCGATGGTGTGCTGTGTGTATTCCCATCGCTTATCATCTGGGCTGCTCGCTGTAGCAACTCAGCAACAGTGGTGTTGACGTTCGAATTGTTCTGAAATTCGAGATAATTTTAAATAAGGTAAATCGGCAAAATTTGTCTCAAATATTCAAGCTTAACTTAAGAATTTAGCTTAACGTTCCTTTAAGGGGAGGGCTGAAATGAACACAATTTTTAGGGGTCTTGGCAGATAGCCTATTGATGCAGCGGTATCGGACACAGCCATGTAGACAAATGTCTTCCCCCAGGGGGAGGGGTATAGGCGTGCAGCAAAGGATTTCAAACCCTGACCTATTCATACCCGGACAAGTTCAGATCCTGTTCAAAACAGAGAGGCCAGAGAACAATACCCTGTCGTATACGCCACATAAGGGAGTAACCCCTCCCCCGGGCAGTCTTCCAAGCGAAAATTTTTACTTTACCACTAATTTCATCATCTAACACTTAAATGCTTTTTGAAACCTTACGCGGATACAACTTTTAGGTTACAGCGTAAGTAAACAATCATATCAACTGGAAGAAAGCTCCTCCCGTAAGCTACCGCAAAGTTTGTGTCTTTTAAAATTCAAGCTCTTACTCGCTTTTTCAATCGTTTTAAGAATGTACATTTCAAATGGTTTTGTGAGTGCGGTAAAGGGCATTTTCACGACTCGTGATCAGCCTTTGTTTTCCCCGTGAAATATGAAACTTTTTGTCGTGAAGCGTGATTTTGTAAAATTTTTTCTGTGAAACGGCAAATGAATGTTTAATTTGCTGTAAATCGTGAGTTTAAGGTTACTTCCTACCTTCAGAGACCTAAAAAATCGATTTTTAAGTTATTTGACAAAACTGAATTCAAACATTCCATCAAATGTTTCCATGGTAAAAATATCGGATATCTTTAAAATCACCCGAGCTATGTAGAAAAACGTATTTTCAAATAAAAGTTAATAAATCAGGAAAGTGTCATTATCTCGGACCTGGGTGAGTTCCCTGGGGGAATTTTCGCGGCAACCGCTCATGTTGAGGCTCGATTTTCATGTTATTTCCCTATTTTGTTTACATCGTGCACTTTCCAAAATTCACACGTGGAAGCTCTTCGTTTATGGAAAAATCTTTGCTTATGGAAAAATAAACAGCGGAAGAAAGTCCTTGGGAGAAAAAAAGGAAAAAAAAGGCAGGCCCAAAGAAGAAAGAAAGAGTACCACTCTTTCAAGTAAGGAACAAAATTCTTTTGTGAAAGCGATTAGTACTAACGGAGCTTCACGCTGGCGCCCAGATTTCGAACAAAGAGAACGCCACCTAACCAACTTTTGCCAT